AAAAAAAAAAAAAAGTTCTGAGAGCAGTTTCCTCTGGGAAAGGAGGCCATTGGGGAGGAAGGAAAGAGAGACTATTATTTTTACCAATAAACTTTTAAAACGACCAGGCTCCTTAAACTATGGGCATGTACAGTTTTGAATTGAAAATTAAATTTTAAATGGTCAGAACAGGACTTTTGTTGTTACCGGAGTTTTAGCTGAGTTGGTTGGGAACAATCACTCTGAGGGGAGGCATTTGAGCTGCCACCTGAGGCTGAGAAGGAGCCAGCCTGGGGGTGGCAGAGGGGACAGCCTGAGCCAATGCCCTGGGCCAGGAGGAAGCCTGACAAGCAGAGCCAGCGATGTGCTTGGGAAGGAGAGGGGAGGGTGGGCCTGCTGGGTGACAGGGTCAGCAGGACTGGGCAGTGCAGGTCCTCTTGGCCACAGCCCACAGAGAGGAGTGTGGGTTTTATTTTAGGGAGTATGGAAAATAGGAGGGTTGGGTAAGGAAGTGGCACTGCCTGTTCACATTCTTAAATGATGACTCGGCCTCTTTGTGGATCTGGGGTGGAAACACAATGATGGAGTGTGGGCAGTGACAGGTCAGGGACCTTGTTGGTAGGCAGAGTCAGCACTCCTTGAATAACTGCTTGTGGTGCGGAGGGGCCCATGAGAGACACCACAGAGGCACCACAGTTCCAATACCCTGCTTCACCCATGCCCTCCCTCTCAGCCCGTAGACATGCATGGGCTCCATCCCCTCTTTCCTTTCTTCCTTCTGGATACTTCAGACCCCCACCATGGTCCCTAGGCACCTCAGTTCCAGGTCTGGGGAGGCTGGAGAGACTGTGCTGTCTTTGATCAGCAAGTGCCATAGCAACCTCCACACCCCACCTCCCAGTTGCTCTCCCCAACCGCAATGCCAATGCAGAATGAGGTCTGTGTGGCCAGCGGCACAGCCCAGAGCAGCTGCACACACACTTCACAGTCCATGAAAGAATTGGGAAGGTGGACCTCATTAAAATGAAAAACTTCTGCTTTATGAAGTGGATACAAAGACAAGCCACAGAGTGGATGAAAATATTTGCAACACACATATCTGATAAAGGACTGTTATCTAAAACATACAACGAACTCTTGAGGTTTGGGAGTTTTCTTTGTTTTTTTGTTGTTGTTTGTTTTTGGTTTTGGTTTTGTTTTTGTTTGAGGCAGAGTCTCACTTTGGCACCTTTGGTAGAGTGTCATAGCATCACAGCTCACAGCAACCTCAAACTCTCAGGTTCACGGGATCCTCTTGCCTCAGCCTCCCAAGTAGCCAGCACTACAGGTGCCTTGCATAGTACCCAGCTATTTTTAGAGATGAGGTCTTTCTGTGGCTCAGGCTGGTCTTGAACTCCTGAGCTCAAGCAATCCGCCCACCTCAGCCTCCCAGAGTGCTAAGATTATAGGCATCAGCCACTACACCCAGCCTACAAAAAACTCTTAAAAGTCTGACAATCCAATTGTAAAATGGGCAAAAGATTTAAACAAACTCTTCACTAAAGATACACAGGTGGAAAAGAAGCATGTGAAAAATGCCCAACATGGTACATCACCAGGGAAATGTAAAGGGTTACAAAACAAAAGTGAAACAGCACTGCATACCTACGGGAAGGACCAAGTCCAAAGCATCAAGCACACCAGTGCTGGTGAGGACGGAGGGCAACAGGAACTCTCATTCATCGCTGGTGGGGACGCAACATGGTACCACCAGTTGGGAAGACAGTTTGGCAGCGTTACAGGCTGAATGTTTGCTTTCCTTCAAAATTCATATAGTTTATGTTCTATCAGTTCCAAAGGGGAGAGACAAAAGAACAAAATGTATATATTGAAACCCCAATCCCTGATGTAACTGTATTTGCAGGTAGGGTCTTTATGGAGATAATTAAGGTTAAATGAGGGAAGAAGGACGGGGCCCTGATCCAATGGAATCAGTGTCTTTATAAGAAGAGGCATAAAAGCTGCTCTTGTGCTTTCGACTGCTATCTCTCTCTCTCTCTCTACCTCTATTTTTCTACCTATACCTCTGTCTCCACTTCTACTACTATCTCTATCTCTACCTCTATCTCTATCTCTACATCTATCTATATGTCTATCTCTATCTCTACCTCTGCCTCTATCTCCCTCTGCCCTGTGAGCACACGGATAGAACACAGCCTGTGTTCTGTCTGTGAACAGATGAACCTACTTTGCCAGAATCTTGACCTTAGAAGACATCCAGCCTCCAGAACCATGAGAAATAAATTTCTGTCACTTAAGCCACAAAATCTGTGATATTGTTTTGGCAGCTAAAACAAATAGATTCTTACAAGCTAAACATGATCCAGCTATTGTGTCCCTTGGCATTTACCCAAATAAACTGAAAACATGCATCCACAAAAAATCCTACACACAGTTGTTTATAGCAGCATTATTCACAATTCCCAAAATTTAGAAGCGATCAAAGTGTCCTTCAATAGGTGAATGGATAATTAAATTGTGATACCTCCAGACAATGGGTTATTTTTCAGTGCTAAAAAGAAATGAGCTAACAAGCCATGAAAAGACAGGGAAGAATTTTTTTTTTTTTTTTTTGGTAGAGACAGAGTCTCACTTTGTCGCCCACAGTAGAGGACCGTGGCATCACACAGCTCACAGCAACCTCCAACTCCTGGGTTTAGGCAATTCTCTTGCCTCAGCCTCCCAAGGGGGACTACAGGTGCCCACTACAACACCCAGCTTTTTTTTGTTGCTGTTGTTGCAGCTTGGCTGGTGCCAGGTTCAAACCCGTCACCCTCAGTATATGGAACCGGCGCCCTGCCCACTGAGCCACAGGTGCCACCAAGACAGGGAGGAATTTTAAATGCATATTACTAAGTGAAAGAAACCAATTTGAAAAGGCTATGTATTATATGATTCCAATTGTATGACATTCTGGAAAAGGTAAAACTATAGAGGCAGTAAAAAGAGCAGTGGTTTCAGGGGTTTGGAGGGAGGGAGGGATAAATAGGCAGATCCAGGGCCAGTTTTAGGGTAGTGAAAATACTCGGTATGATGCTATGGTGGGTCCATGTCATTGTACATATGTCCAAACTCAGAATGTATAAAACCAAGAGTGAACCCTAATGTAAGCTATGGGCTTTGAGTATCAATGATGTGTCAGTGTGAGTTCATTGATTGAAATACAAGTACCCTCTAGTGGGGGAGGTTTTGGGGGCAGGGCTTATATGGGAATCCTCTGTAGTTTCCATTTAGTTTTGTAGTGAATCTAAAACTGTTTCAACTGTAATCCTAACACTTGTGAGGCCAAGACAGGTGGATTGCCTGAGCTTACAGGTTCAAGACCAGCCTGAGCCAGAGCAAGACCTTGTCTCTAAGATATAGCCCAGTGTTGTAGTCCCAGCTACTAGGGAGGCTAAGGCAAGAGAATCGCTTAAGCCCAAGAGTTTGAGGTTGTTGTGAGATATGACACAATGGCACTCAACTGAGGGCGACAAAGTGAAACTCTGTCTCAAAAATTAAAAAAAAGTAAAGAAAACTGTTTTATTTATTACTTTTAATTATAAAAGGAGTTAAACACGTGTATGCATAAATAAAGAACAAATGTTGATTTCTTATCTGAGCCCAAAGAGCAGGAAGATGATCCATGTCAGAGCCAGGCCAGGATCCAGGCTGTCTGGATGAGGTCTCACCAGCTCACTCCCAACGCTGCTTCCTGGAAGTGACATCTCATTTCTCTCATGTTTTATTGGCCAAAGTACATCAAAGCCACCCCTGACCTCCAAGTGCATGAGGAAGTGTATGCACCTTGGCTGGTGCTGGGAAGGTGAGATTGGGGCTCCTGACCTCCACAGACACTGCATTCTGCTTAAAACATTCAGCATGGTGTGCATTGATCCCTCCCACACATATGAACAACCCTCCCCGCCCAGCCCAACAATCTTGCCCTACCATTCTTTGGCTGTTGCAAACAAGGGCATCCTTCCGTTTTGGAATGGAATTGTTTCCAAGTCAGTTGATCACATAGTTATTGGGAAACTACCACATGCACGAAGCTCAGCTGCCCCAGGGCCTTTGCATTTGCTGTTCCCGTGGCTTGCAATGCTCTGTCCCTCCCTCCTTCAGTCTTTGCTCCCTCTGTGTCCACCCCATCCTCCATATTCATCCCATCTCTCTCCATTGTTCTCCTGACATCCACCTGGCATCTCTGGGTTGATCTGCTTACTTGAGCACTGTCTGTCTCACACCAAACTGAAGATCCCCCAGGGAGAAACTTCTTACACCACTGTATCCTCAGAGCCTGACACATAGTCAACCCTCAATCAAGAAGTGTTGACTGACACAAACAGGTACAAAAAAAATCCTCTTTTGCAACACAGAAGTCGTCATTCAGTAAGAGTTTCAATACATCTAAGAAGGAATATTATGATACCTGAGATAGTTTAAAGTGATGGGAGTTGGCCAGGCACAGTAGCTCACTCCCACAATCCCAGCACTCTTGAGAGGTCTAAGTGGGAGGATCACTTGAGGCCAGGAATTAGAGACCAACCTGGGCAACACAGCCATACGCTTGTCTCCATTAAAAAAAAAAAAAAAAGGAAAACTACTGAGGTGTGGTGGCATGTGCTTGTCCCCCATTTGTTAGGAGAATTACTTGAGCCCAGAAATTTGGGCTATGATTTTACCCCAGCATGGGTGACAGAGCAAGACCCTGTCTCTAAATAAACTTAAAAAGCACAAGACAGGAGAGAAACCTCAACTATTTTAACTTAGTTTTCTAATTTCATGTTGGCATGTTAAGATGGCTTTTTTCTCTTAAAGGCCTTTATCTTGCAGACATGACATCTGGAGTTGAAGGTGTTGGCATTACCCACTGATCTGTACTATTCGTATGTGTGCTGGCTTTAGGATCTAATACTATTTGAACATATTTATTTTTCCAAGAAGGTGTCAAATTGAGAACCAGGCAGATCAACCTACTCTACAAATGACCCTAAAGGAACTTGCTTGAAGAAATTAGATCCCAGAGATTCTTGGTGGGGAGTTTAAGTTTTCCTCAGTACGTCTATATTCAAGTGGAGATAAAAGAAGCCAAAATAAAAGAAAAAGAATCATGGACTGACAGGACAACTGTGGATTGAGGGTCTGTTCTATTAAAAAGGGCTGTCTTGAAGGGAGCTCTTCAGTGACTCCAGCCTTTGAGGCACCAAAGCTACCCTGGATGAGCAGTGAAAGGAATCACATGTGAAATTCTTGGAATAAAAATGTATTAATTTTGCCTAATGCCATAATTTAAAAAACTTTTTTATTACAGAAAAAAAAAGAAATAAGGGGCAGAACCTGTGGCTCAGGGAGTAGGGAGCCAGCCCCATATACCGGAGGTGGTGGGTTCAAACCCAGCCTAGCCAAAAACTGCAAAAAATAAATAAATAAATAAATACTGAATGGATAACTGCTATCACACAGCTCACAGGGGGATTAGATGAAATGATAGGTGTGATTGTCCTTTGAAACCTACTGTGCTTAGAGAGGGAAACTGAGGCTTAGAAAAGTATAATGACCAGGGCCACACCTGTGGCTCAAGGAATAGGGCGCCGGCCCCATATACCAGAGATGGCAGGTTTAAACTCGGCCCTGGCCAATAACTGAAAAATAAATAAATAAATAAAAGTATAATGACCAACCCAGAGCCACACAGCCAGAGCAACAGACATCTAGCCCACAGCCCTCTTCCTGGGCCATACACCTGCCCACCCTGCCTCAGAGCCAGTGTTACAGAGACACACTTCCCCAGTCCCCACAAGCACCCAGACCACACCCAATCCAACATCACACGCACAGGGAGATGCCCACAGCATAGACACACCTGGCCTCACACACTCAGGAATTCTGTCCACACCCCTGTCCTCACACCATACCACACGCTGACACTCCCACAGCGTCATGGCCCTGTATCACCATAACAGGCAGCTCTTGCTTCTGGAGCTGTGATGAAGACCTCCAGTGTCGGCCACAGGAGGGCTGTGGCCTGTGAGTGTGCCTGGTGTGCCCCAAACGGCATGTGCCCAGAGCGTCACACGTGTCTCACTTAATCCTCACAATGTCCCTGCCAGATACACATTACCAGGGAACCCATTTCACAGATGGTGAAACTGAGGCTCCATGAGAGGAAGTCCTTTGACTTACTCAGGTCCCAGAGCAAGTCTCCAGCAGGGTTTAAATTTGAACCTAGTTCTACTGGACTATGACAGATCCTCTTGCCACTGCCCTGGCCTGCCTCTGAGCCAGGAGGGCTCCCAGGAGCAGCCTCACCTTTCCCTGGTCTCAGCAGTGTGGACACTCTTTCCAGATGGACCAACCAGTCATCAGCTCTCCCTTGCACCAGAGGTGGCTCTCCCAGCCTGAGCAGCATCCAAGCAGAGGAGCAGCAAGTATTGGAGGAAGGGGTTGGGCCAGGTGGCCTTGCATTAGTCTTTGAGTTGCAAATGACAAAAAAAAAGTATTGGCAAACAAAGCTGGAAAGTGATACCTCCTGGAAGAGTTGGATCCAGCTCTCAGATGTCAGCAGGTACTGTCCCCAGGGTTCACTTTCTTCTCAGATCAGCTTTCCCTGGCTCTGAGTAGCACTCACAGGTCTGCGTCCCAGCTTAGTGCTCCCAAAGCAAATGCCATAAACATTTGTCAGGTGAATGCTACAGGTGCCAAAGCAGTTGGGCTCTAAATCTAAGTGGATCCTGACCTGGACCTCTGGGAGAGGACCTCAGGCAGCGGAAGCACTCTGAGGTCACACGAAGTTCATTCCTCTGCAACGAACACCATCATCTCTGGAATCTCAAGCGACAGAAGCAGCCTTCATTGTGCACCAGGCCATGTCCTGAGCATGAGCGTGAACTCATAGTAATCCCACGGCAGCCCTATGATGATGTCACAATATCCATCTCATGGATGGGAAAACTGAGTCACAAAGCTATGGCACCCGAGGAGGGATGGAGCCACGCAGCCCTCTAAAAAGCTGAGCTTCAGAAAGCTCCACCTCTGAACAAGGGCAGGACTGTCCTTCCAAAGCCAGCTTTGCCCAGGGAGGCAGAGGCTGGCATGGGGGCGTCCACTCAGCTGACACCCATGAGCCCTCTGCCTGCTGCCACTACTGGTGGAGCTCAGCGTTCCAGCTGCTGTGAGTGGTCCTGTGTAAGTCTCTTTCTGTGCCCACTTGAGTCCCCCATTTGTAAATGAGCAGATTACTCCCTTCAAAAGTGTAGTACTCACTTCAATGGTAGGACACTCTTGGGCAGCACAGCCCCACAGAACTTTCTGTGAATTCCCACACAGTGGCCACATGTGGCTATGGAACATTTGAAATGTAGCTAGTGTGATTAAATTTTAAATTTTATTTCTTTTTTTTTTTTTTTTTTGAGACAGAGCCTCAAGCTGTCCCCCTGGGTAGAGTGCCATGGCATCACAGCTCAGAGCAACCTCCAACTTCTGGGCTCAAGCGAGTCTCCTGCCTCTGCCTCCCAAGTAGCTGGGACCACAGGCGCCCGCCACAACGCCCGGCTGTTTTTTGGTTGCAGCCATCATTGTTGTTTGGCGGGCCTGGGCTGTATTTGAACGCGCCACCTTAGGTGTATGTGGCTGGTGCCTTAGCCACTTGAGCCACAGGTGCTGAGCCAATTTTATTTCTTTTTAATCATGGGAAATGTAAATGGCCATGCATGGCTGATGACAACCATGTTGAGTAGCCGAGCTCTAGGGCCCCAGATGAATACCAGATAATCTTTTCAGTTTTGTTCTATTTCTTACCCACCCCCTATCTCACCCTCCAATTCCATGCCAGCAGCCTGGCCCCTTGCATTTCCTCTCTAAGGGAGTTTTATTCATCGTTCCGCAGCCAGGAAAAGACAGTCACCTTCTCTCATGGCTGTCCTACCCTACAGCCCTGTCAGAGTCGGGTGGAGTGGCCAGATTCAGAGTGATCCCAGGATCTTTGCATCACTCTGGAAAAGAAGGGGGAACCTCTTACCTTAAAAGACAAATATAGACTCAGGGTGAAGGGATGGTCATCTATATTCCAGGCTAATGGAAAGCAGAAAAAAGCAGGTGTTGCAATTTTATT